TTTTGGAACAGACTCACTAATCTTTATTGATGATGGAACTCATGATGGTAGCAGCAGAATGAATTCAGAAACCTATAGAAACATTCTGTCTGCCAATTTACAGAGAAATGCATCCAAACTAATTGGGAGGAACTTCATCATGCAGCAAGACAACGACCCAAAACACACCGCAACACAACAAAGCACTTCATCAGGAGAAAAAGTGGAGACTAGTCTATACTTTTTTAAATTACTGATTGACTAGTACAAATGAATCTGGGCTATGACGCAGTACTCCGAGACTACGTATTCATGTCATATGAGCTTGTCAATGAACAGTAGTTATAACTGTTTACATTAAATGAGTGTAATTAAATTATTTGGGTGATCTCTGTGTTAACATTGAATTAGGAGTTTAAACATGAGCTGAAACAATTCTGAAGATTTTGAACACTGCAAAGTATGAAACCAGCTTGAGACTCTGAGATGATTTAAAATGGGTAAATACTTCAAAAGGGCTAAATATGGCAGAAGCAATTTTAATAGCACAATGAGAGACAAGTGTGTGGGGAAAACAGTGTGGAGTACCTGCTAACGGAGGCCATAAGCAGGCTGGCTGTGTACTAGGCTCAATGCACCAGGGACGTTTTTCTTGAGACAGTAATGGCGCACATGGTACTCTGCCTTTTGAACATGCCAATGTTAAAAAAAAAAAGAAAGAAAGATATTGGATATTAGTCCAAAAGTTACATCACGATTTACTTGTGGAAAGTTACTCGTATTCAGAGTCGGGTTACGCAGTTGCTTAAGGTGCGTAAGCAAAAAGTGGATGTGAAACTAGGGTTCATCTCTGACCTTTGATCTTTCCTGTCTGTTATTTCCACATGTATTACTGCAGATGTTTTCGGTAGCACTTTCTGCGAAGCCCTATAAGTCATTCATAAATCATTATGACTGTGCTTATAACAGTTTGTAAGTTGGTAATAATTCCCTGTGAGCATTTTTATAAATTCTAATAATGTGCTAGAAATTAAAATTCCTTAATGATTTGTGAATATGGCCTTTGTAAAAAGTGTTAACACTTATTTTCTTCTCTTGTGCCAGTTTCAAAGTATTCGGATTGACCTGATTGCTTAACGATACAGTATGTTCATTAGCCATGCTTAATTCTGTCCTAACGAACCCTGTATGACATGCTGATGAGTGTGTTTCAGCCTCAGTGTGTTTGCTGTGATGTGTTTTTCATACCGCAGGCCTGTGATTTGTCAGATTTTGATGGAGCATCTGTTCAGGAACATATTGTATGCTAATTACTTGAATGTGGGTCAACTGTGGACAATTTGATTAAGCGCTTGTAATCATCTTTGGGCGGCAGATGATAGATTGTGTGACCTTCATTTAATGTGCGATTTAGTCGAATCAGCAGCCGTTCACACTGACGTTTAAATATAATTATGATTCTCCTAACATAGTTCAAATTATTATTTATTATTATTTTCCATCTGTTCCTTTTAATTAAATTTAAAATGAATTATTTGGTACTTGCTCATGATTTTGGCAGCATTGTCTCACACAAAGTTTGTAGCAATTTGCATGAATCAATTTGTCATTACTAAGGTTTACTTCGAACCATGCTGTGATGCGGAAGTACTTAAGGTGACATTTACATCTCAACTTTCACGGCATAATTCAGATTGTTTTCTCAGATTGGATAAGTCTATCTCTACAGTTCACACTTCTTTTTCCTGCAAGTAACCCTGCTTTACTCTGTGTCACAAACAATAAAAATGTCATATTTGTCCCATCATCCCAAGCCTGCGTCAGAATTTCTCCGGAGGTCAGAAAACAGCTCATCAGCTGCAGGTGATCAGGTGGAGGTGTTCGTAAAAGAGGCACATTGAGCAATTCTGACCACTACCTTGATTAAAATCTTTAGCCTTAAGACTCTTTGTTGTTCTTTGACGTTCGCTTGCGGCCATGTGTCGCTGTTTATTGGGTCTCATGAATTACTCCTCTCAGTGTGTGTCAGCTTTCACTGACCAATGAGAACATGCTTTTGTTATTGATTTGGTTTCAATTCAATTCAATTCAGTTTATTTTTTTTTTCAAAGTTTGTTTCAAAGTCTCCTTACTAACAGTTCACTGTTTTGTGTTAGTTCCGCTTCATGTTTTTGGTCATTGGATGTTTTTGTTTCTTGTTTCATGTTTTTCGTCTATCTAGTTACCTCACGTGCGTTTCCACACTCCTGTATCACTGGATAATTGTTTTCAGTAGGTTAATTTCCCCAAGTATCAAGTAAATCACCAATTTCTCTATCCTTCCCCTGACTATAAAGTGCCTTGCAAAAGTATTCATCCCCCCTAAAAGTCATCAGGTTCACCTGGATTATTAATGCCACTTACACAGATCAGTCTGTATTTTATTGCAAACTAATCTGCTCATTAATTGTGAGCAGAGCTTTAAAAAAATTAAAAACTGAAAAATGTTGCTTGCATAAGTATGTATGTTTGTATCATGACTATTTTTCTTCTTCTTCTTCTTCTTCTTCTTCTTCTTCTTCTTCTATTTCGTGTTAGGAACAGGGTTAGCATTCATACCTTTTCCAATGACGTTATTGTACTGAACAAAATCCAACCAAATGTCTTTGATGATTCCAATTTGGACACATTTTTCATGAACATCATTAATTCCATGTAATAGTTTAAATCCATCATTTATATGCCAGTTACAGAGGTTACAATCTTTCCTCCTCATGCAGTCATGAGTGCTATAAGTATACTGTTTTGTTCCAACTTCAAGACTATGAATAGCAGATGAAATTATGACACACATGTAGAGCTCATTCAACACCACTTCTGGTGAGAATAACTAAGAGAAAATGAGCAAGGAGGAAAAAAACAATTACTAAACACACTTTTGTTTGTGGAGCCACATACATCTGCCAACTCCTTTTACACCACACTGCTGTTGAATCCTGGATTGTGATTGGTCAGAAGGTGTTGATTAATTCTCTATAACAGCAGCTCTGACAGTAGTGCAGCTGCAAATCTCAGGTTTATATTGTTATCATTTCTATAATAACAGCTCATTCACAGAGACGTGTATGGCAGACACGCCACATAAATCAGGCGTGTCCAATTTTATACGGTACAGGTTTTTATTCCAACCACGCAGAAGTCACACCTCACAGTCTAGTGAAAGGTGGGGAAATGAGTGTTTATTGCTCCAGTAACCTAAGTGAGAAGAGCAATGTGTTAATTGATAAAAATTGTAATAATTGGAAAATTACTGCAGTGCAAGAAGAATAAAACACTGCATTACAGTGGGTAACACTGCAGAGTACAAACACACACACACACACACACATTAGTGAGATTATAGTTGTGAGTTCACACTAACACTGAATAATGAATAAGGCTGCAGTGTGTAAACAGAAGTGTTTATTTATCGAGGCTGAGACTCTTTCCCCAGGCGGGATGTAAATAATGTCCACTCTCCGGAACATTCCACAGGCTCTTTAACAGATCTGACACAATGATTTATC